TTTCTTTTGTTTTTGTAGATTTTGTTTTTACTGAGACTTTATGTTTTTCTTTATTTTGATGAGTAGGTTTGTTAACTTTCTTTGTGGTTACCTTGAAATTTATCTTTATCTTCTTAGGTTTGAACCATTCTGTTATTACTTGGTATCACCTTGCCTTCCTCTCCATTAGAAAGTTCTGTACCTACACCATTCATTCCCTCTTTTATTGTTCTGATGTTGTTGTCATTTACAGATCAACCTCTCTCGTTCCCTGTTGTAGTTCTTTTAGTTTTGGATAGTCTTTGAGAGTTCATTTCCTAGTTTGTTATCTGGCTGGTATGATCTTGCATCCTAGTTTCAGGCTGTGGTCTGGTGGTGTTCTCAAATGAAAGGACACCCTTTAATAATTCTTGTAAGTTTGGTTTGGTTTTTACGTATTCCCTTAATTTCTGTTTATCTGGAAGTGTCCTAATTTCACCATCATATTTTAGCCAGAGTTTTGCAGGATATATTTATTCTCGGTTGGCAGTTTTTTCTTTCAAGGTTTTATATATGTCATCCCAATTGCCTTCTTGCCTGCATGGTTTCTGTCGAGTAATCAGAGCTTAGTCTTATTGTTTCCCCTCTGTACGTGACTTTTTGTTTTTCTCAAGTTGCTCTCAGGATTCTTTCTTTGTCTTTGATTTTAGCAAGTGTGATTATATGCCTTGGTGATTTTCTTTTGGGGTGTATCCTACATGGGGTTCATTGAGGTTCTTGGATGTTCAGCTTTTCATCTCTCAGGCTATTAGGGAAGTTTTCTGTCAGCAGTTCTTCAGTAATTCTCTCTGTGTTTTCCATTTTCTCCTCCTGTTCTGGAACTCCGATTACTTGCAGATTTTTGCTTTTAATTGTATCCCACATAATTCTCAGGGGTTCTTCATTTTTCTTCATTCTTTTTTCTGATTTTCCCTCAAACAAAATTTTATCCAAGTGTTTATCTTCAGTTTCACTGATCCTGTCTTCCGTTGTTTCAAACCTGCTCCTCAGCCCTTCTATGACACTGTCCATTTCTGAAATCTTGTTGCTTATCTTTTGGATTTCTAATTGTTGTTTTCGTATGATTTCTAGTTGTGAATTTATTTTGGCGTTTTGTTCCTGTATTATTTTCCTGAATTCTCCCGTTTTTTTGTCTGTATTTTGCATGAATTTGTCTGCCTTTTCTGTGAATTTGCCTATTTTTTCCTCATTTTTGTCTGCTTTTTGCTTCAACTCTTGGATAGCTTTGAATATTAGAGATTTGAATTCCCTATCAGGTAATTCTAGTGCCTTTTCTTCTACTGGAACGTCATCTGGTGTTTTATTTTGGATGGCTGCTGGAACCATCCTGTCCTGTTCTTTTATATGTTTTGATATTGTCTGCTGTCTTTGGGACATTCAGTAGTTTTTTTCTTCATTTATTGATTTTAGATTTGTTCGTTCCATCCTGCTTTTGTTTTATTTGGTTATGTCTGAGCAGGCGGGCTGTGCCTTCTTTGTTTGCTCGTCTGTGGGCAGGATACTTTTCACCTCCTTGTCCAATGGGCACGACCAGTTGCTCAGCTATGGTGCAGCAGGGAAGGTCCAGCTGAAGGGAGGGGGCTGGATGGGTTGTTTGTGGTATGTACTACGGCTGACAGGGTGGGCCGGAAGTCAGTGCAGGGTAGGCTCCAGTGGCCCATGCCTGTGCTGCTCAGGGGTATGATGTTTAGCACTGCAGGTAGGCAGGAAGGAGAGGGAAGATTGTGGAGTTAAAAATGGGTGTGGAAAAGAAGATAGAAGAAACAGGAGCCAAAACAAACAAAGAAACAAAAAAAGAGTGTTAAGGGAGCTTTCTGTTGGAGTGGAGAGACAAGAAACCATGAAATGGAGAAATACAAAAAAGAGAAATAAACAAATAAATAATTTTAAAAGAAAAGAAAAGCCCTCAGGTATCCCACTGGTGCAGCTGCTCAGACTGGAGAAGTGGCTCCCTGACCATGCAGTGCAGCCTGGCTAGAAGGGGCAGAGATGTCACACAGTGCCAGGTATTCAGGAGACAGGAAAAGAAGGTAAGTATAAAGAGATGAGAAACTTAGAAATGAAGAAAAACAAAAAGGAAAAAAAAAGAAATGCCCTAAGGGATCCCACTGACGTTGCTAAGCAGATCGGGGAAGTGGCTCCCAAGCTGTGCAGTACGGCCAGCTAGAAGGGGCTCCCAAACAACAAAAAGAAAAAGAATACAAACTAACTAAACTGATCAGAACAGAACAAAACAAAGAAATCAAAAACAAACAAACAAACCCAAAAACAATAAAAAAAAGTCCCCAGGGATCCCACCAGCATGGAGGCATGGACCAGGGAAGCAGTTCCTGAGCTGAGCGGTGCTTCACAGCGTTTCAAGAAGCAAAGATGGCACATGGAGCTGGGTGTTCGAGAAGAAGGAGGGGGAGGAGGTGAGAGACAGGGAAGAAGCCAAAAAAAGTGGAGAAAAGCAACACCACCAACAAAGAAATGGCACTGAGAGAGCCAGCCAGTGTGGGTGGGGTGAATCCAAGCGGCACAGAGCTGGTGTCTCCTGGCCAAGAGACTTGGGCTGGCGGGAAGCAGCAGAGGCCAAGAGGAGGGAAGAAGGGTAGGAGGTTGGAAAGCGTATATCACTGGTTACCAGATGCTTTGTCTCCTGCTGGGAGCTCCATGAAGCTGCTTTCCTGTACCCACTGTCTGCCAATCTCCGACAGGAGTCCAAGATGGTGAATCCTTGCTGCGTTAGCTGAAAGGGGACCTCCGCTGGTATCTCTCCTCGCTTTGTTCTCTGTCAGTTTCTTTTTCCATTTGGTGCTTGGCTGAGTTCTTTGTCTCTTCATTTGATGCTTAGGGTTCCAGGATTGACGTTTGTCTCTGTTTTACTTAGTTTTACGGGTCTTTGCTGTGGAGGGATGGCATGGTGCTTCTCTCTATAGCACCATGTTGGCTTCTTTTTTTTAAATTTCAGTTATTTTTGTGTGGAGAAGAAGGAGGGCAGGGATGGATATCTTATTGGCGGGGGGGTGGGGGAGACTTTAAGTCTAATCTTTGTCTGTCTCTCTCCTAAATTTGTAAATTTGCCCTTTATTCCCCTAGATCAGTTCTAGTTTAGTCAGTAATCCCAGTTCTCAGAAGGTATTCTCCATGACGAGAGTTGAAAGGATATTATGTTTGGGGCCTTGCTTTTGATTTTGTTTGTTTTCTTCTTGAATATTTCTCCAGAGTGCTTTTTACATCTTGTTTCTTTTAACTGTGGGACTGATTTTGAGATTTTTGACTTAAATTTTAGATAGCTTTTCTCAGAGGAGGTGTTCAACCCTCAGATATTGATGTAATTTGGATTTCCTGGGGTGTAGTGGTTAAGTGCTACGACTGCTAACCAAAAGATCAACAGTTTAAATCCACTAGGTGCTCTTTGGAAACTCTATGGGGCAGTTCCACTCTGTCCCATAGGGTTGCTATGAGTTGGAATCAACTCAATGGCAACGAGTTTGGGTTTTTGGTTTTAGGATTATTTAAAACCTGGTTGGGCCTTCTGTAATCCAGTGGAACTGAATGTGGAAGGATGTTGTTGGAGTTGTGAATGCAGGAACTGCATTATTTAGTTTCATTTAGAAAGGAATAGTCAGTCTTATAATTTTAAACTGGGTTACCAAAATACCGAATGTCATAGAAGGGTGTGGTATTTTTTTATTTCTCAAGAAGGTGGTAGTATGGATTTAAAACGTTGAGAAACATATTACCTAATCTGATGGGAGGATGCTGGGACTAGACTCTTAATAGTCTAGTCATCCTAGTGCTTTGCATGGCTCGTGTTCATATGATGTCTGTCAGCTGAGTGTAGTAGAGAAGAAGCTAATCTTTGGAAGCTCACAGTCTTCATCTTTGCAGGATTTGTGGTTGTGGAGGTGTGTGTGCATATAGGAATGATTGTAAGACCAATAAATTTTCTTTTCTGATTCCATTTGGACACCTTACATTTTTCACTTTAGGATTTGGGAAAGATTCAAACCGACCACTTGAACAGCGGCAGTACAGAGCCAATTTCCTTAAGCTCCTGGACACTGGTGCTGCAGCTCATTTCAAAAGTGATAGCAGAAAGAACAACTTACTGGTGAGGGCTGCTGCAAGTACTTGCATCTAAAAGATTTGTCCTCCGGTTGTTATAATTCCAAATTGAGCCCCTCAAAAAATGGCAGGGCACACGTACGTCTTCCATGTTAAGGAATCCCTTTACTGCAAGATCCCAAAGCGATTTCAAAATACAGCTCCTCTCTCAAGAGGAGTCTAGGAACCTAGTATGGATAAGAAGACCAGCTCATAACTGGTTTTCCGTAAGCATTACGATATGAAGACTTTGGTGTAAATGACATACCTGCTTTAGGATTGGCAGGGCCGTGATTAGAAAACTCACTTTATTTGTGGTCAATCTAGGAAGTCTTCCTTAGAGCAGGACCTTGAAATAAGTTGAATCTGATAAGTCAGACCAGGCAGTCTGGGGGGAGGCAGGCAGGCAGTGATGTCCAAATTTCTGAATATGCAGAATTAGACCAGTGTATAGGTGTAGGTAAAGCTTTCTTAACAGCAGTTTTTGCTTGCTTGCTCGTAGGGGTGAGAGGTTGCCAGCTCATTCTTAATTTCCTGGATTTCTCTTTTGTAAAAGTGAAAAAGACCAGCAGGTAATTGCTTACAGTTTATCATCTACCAAACTGTGTACTGAACTTCTCTGACTACTTATTTGAATCAAGGCTTAAAGAGGGAGCCAGAAAGAGGAATTCAGAACACTGATTTTCCAAAAAAGCCCAAATTTCCAAGTTAGGGAGAAAGCATCCTTGCACAACCCTGACTGGCCCTAGGCAGTCTCATCATTATTCAGTTTTAATCTTGGCCAAACTGATCCTGCCTGTATTGCATTTCAGGAGTCTCCAAACGTGCTTTCTGGTAACCTGCTCAAAGGCTGCAATTCATTAAGTGCTTCCTGACCCGTGTTGCTTCCCTCTCTCAATTGCTCTGAAAAGACTTCCAATTAGAAACAAGCTGATGATCTGCTAGAAGCTTTGGCAGTACTGGTTTAGTGAGAACATTAGAGAACAGCAGTTGCAGAAGAGAACAATATGAGACCTGTCACAGAAGAGCCTAATACCTCTCTGATTGAGTCTTCTTCTAAAGTGGCATTCACTGCCTCATTTCCTTTCCTGGTCTCCAAGCCTCTTTCTCCTAAGAATTTCTTTTACTAGTGATCGTATTGACTTCCATCATGTTATCCTTAAGTAGCACAGCAGCCTTTGTGAATCTTCTTTTTTCTACTACTTCCTTTTTTGCACTAGTGTTCTCTCTCGATTCCACTAACCCCCATCCCCAGTTTAAATAATCAAATCAAAAGGGGGAATATTGACAGTTTAGGGGAAATTTCCTTATCACACATAGTGTCAAACGCATATACATACATGGCTTCAAGAAGAAATATTAGTAAGTTATTTAAACAGTTACAACATAGAGAAGGACTCATGTTTTCCCCCACCTAAGAGAACTGTGATCAGATTAAAAACCCATTGCCGTTGAGTCGATTTCGACTCATAGCGACCCTAGAAGGTATAATTTGCAGATTACAAAAGCATAGTTTTAGATAATAAAGAACAAAAAAAAAAAAAAGTTATTTTCTCAAGCTCTCTATATAATGTAGTAATTAAAGGGAGACATTTTTAGAATGTAATAGTCTGTCTTTTCCTATGTGGTAGGGGAAAAACATCATAAAGTTTAGTGAAGCAAAAAGAAAGTTTTATTTGGCATATATTCAAAAGGACAAAAGTAGGCAGATGGACAAGCATGCTGCCACAGCCATGTCTTCCCGAGTCCAAAGAATATTACAGAATACGCAAGAATGGGAAAACAGACAGGCATGCTGCCATAGCCATGTCTGCCCGAGTCCAAAGACCATTACAGAGTTATCAGTATATATTAACATTACACATGGGCCAAACCATTGCAAGCTTCACCTTTTCACAGATTGGCTAGAAACTGAGATCCTACATTTTGAATTGTCTTTCTTAACAATCATTGGTACAGGTTTCAGTAATGAGAATCAGGAGGGTCTTCATTGGTCCAACAAATTTCTATTCACTAAATGCTAATAGAAAAAGATCAGAGTAGAAAGTCTTTTGTGTTCTGTTTGATTGGCTTTATGTGAAAGTTGCCCTAAAAGATATTTTCCAAGATTATCTTAGCTATTGTGTTTATACCTCAGGGCCCAGTTGATGTGTCCTTGTGAGCCCTTGTGAGCCCAGCTCCAGCTGGGTCACGTTCTGTATGCTCAAGGAGAGGGAATAATAACTCCAGTATTATTTCCTAAATCACCTACAAAACTCAAGTTTTTAGAAAATGTTTTAAATTTTCATTTCTTTTGGGAGGATTAGTAAAATAAAAGGAACTAAGGTTGTGAAGAGCTCTTAATTAAATGATCTAATCACGTAAAAGAAGTAAAGCTTTACTAAATAGCATCTAAATATGGCCTCCAGTTAATCAGGCAAGAACAGATGTCAAATTTGCTAATAATTAGAGAGCAAAGGAAATTGTGTGTGTATGTTAAACATAGGAGCTATTGTCTGAAGTAACAAACAGTCCTTCAAAACAGAAGGACTGGAGAAAATGCTCCAAATTCACTTTCCCATTTTATTTCCACTTAATGTAAATGATAATACTTAATGCTCCTTTGTCTTGATTTGTCTAATGCTTATCTTTTTGACACAAGCACTGAGGTGGGGAAAGCCACTTTCTAAAGGTTGGGAGGAGTGGAAAAGGTGGCAATGTTGAAAAATAAGAGAATAGGATTAAATATATCGAAATGACTAGGTCTTGCAAGAAAGGTACGTATTTTGTTTGAAAAATACCAATAGGGTAATAATAGTCAGTGTATTGGTGATTTACATTATCATGAACCATTATTCACATATGTTTTCTCATCACAACAGGCAGGGCAGGTATTAGCTCCATTTTATAGGTGGGGAAATTTTGACTCAGATGCCTTGGCTTGCTAAAGCCACAAACGCCTAGGACGAGAGAGTAGCCTCTTGACTGTGTAAGGTCTTTCACTTCAGACATTTGCTAACTTTGCCAGTATAATTTCCCTCAATATTCTCAAACTCAAATTTAGTAAATAAGACTGCAGCGCTGCCAGCATCATGCTTGTTTAAAGCCTGAACCGGTGATATAAGTTTCAGTACCAGGACTGAAACTACCACTTGCTACAAGAGCTAATAAAGATGTGGGGTGGGGGGGCAGGGGGCTGGGGAAAGGTTTTTTTAGCTATAAGTATCTTTTTTTTTCCCTAAGAAAAAGTCAAATTCTGTTTTACATAAGGTAATTGGACAAGTAAATGCTTTATTTTTAACTCTGAATTGGAGTTATAGTATTTGAATTTGTGTGGTGATTTATGACTTTAAAAGAAGCTCTTATTTGAAATTCCTAGTGCCTGAAGGAAGAAACAGTGACAGACCTGGAGACTGCAGTTCTTTATCCCTCACACAGGTACGGCATCCTGTCATGCTGCTAAGAAAAGTTCTCCTCTCTGCTGGAAGGGGGATTTAATTTTTATCCTAGAGCAAATAACTATTTTAATGTACCATACATTCTTAAAACCCTTTTCAGGGTTATGTCTGATCTTTAAAAATTATTTAATGCCATAATGCTTCAGGAGACTGAGACTAATTTTGCATTTATTAGGCTAATGTTTAAAATCTAAAAACTAATACCAAAATTTAGTGTTCACTCATCAGGAAAAAAAGTATAGATAATAAAATGTGACCACATAATCTGCTTAATGAGAAACAATAACAGGTAAGCATTTTCTTTTGGGGATCAGGTTTGCCTTGGATCTTTGCTAGGCTTCCAGTTTAGGTGGGGACAAAAAATTGCTTTACTTTTTAGATTTAAGTCATGTGTGCCAGTAAAACCCGAAGAAAACCCGCTGCTGTCAAGTCGATGCTGACTCATAGCAACCCTATAGGACAGAGTAGAACTGCCTGATAGAGTTTCCAAGGAGCATCTGGTGGATTTGAACTGCCGACCTTTTTTGACAGCCGTAGCACTTAACTGCTACGCCACCAGGGTTTTCTGTGTGCCAATAGTGCTTTTAAAATTGGAGTCTCAAAAGATACGTATCTGGGTTATGGATCAATATTTAAAATTACGTGAGAATGGATAGCAGTTGCAAGTGTTTGAACCAATAAGCTATTTTTTTGCAGCCATTGCTTTCTGGTGTTCCCGTGGAGCACCTTTCTTATGATTCCATTTTCTTTTTGTGCCTTAGTTTTATGATTTGTCATGATTGTTACTGATTTTAGATTAGAAGGCTAGTAACATTTCATTTATTCAGCATTCAGCATCTACTAATATGCCAAACACTGGGCTGGGTACCAGGGACACAAGGAAGAACAAAGCACAATTCCTGCTCTCCAGAAGCTCCTTTGCCTTGTGCAGAGAGGCTGACCCTAACACATAGAGGAGAACCTTTGAAGGATTTTAAATAGCATCTTGACAAAGTTCAGATGTGTATTTTGGAAAGATGTCTGTTGGCCTAGGTCAGGGGAAAGAGTGGAGGCTGAAAGCTCTGATAAGGAGGCTGGTCTGAGTTCCCTGTTTTTTGTTTTTCCTTTTCCCACTTTCCTTTCATTCACAGGTTTTAAAGATTCCGTGGGAATTTTATATTGGTCCCTTTGGTGGGAATTTTATATTGGTCTCTTTGGGTCCTCCTAGGCAAGAAGTCCTCAGGGCTTCCTCATCAGCTTGATTTGATGACTCTGGAAGTAGGCCATAAAGCTTCTTTTGTCCACCAGAGGGGGCGAGCCATCACTTTAGAGAGAAAACTTGTGTCCTTTCTTGTTGGAAGATAGCTTTGGAAGGTTTACAGAGTTGTGTGGTAAAAGTGTACCTTCCTTCCCTTCCCATTTTTAAAAATGGATTTAAAAAGAATTTACATATTTTATTAGATAATGTAAATTTACATGGTCATCTTTCTCACCAGAGCTCAGACTTTTTTTTATTGCTAACGCAACACTCTGAAAAAATAATGAAATACCTTCTTACTCATAGCTGAATATTAAAAAATATATGCAGGTAATTTCTTTAACTGTCAAATTTTTTAAAACTATATTCTATTTAGAAAATTTGTGTAGTATTTGGAATACTGAATTAACCAAAATACCCCATTCCCTGGCTGGATAGAGTTAACATCACAATGTGAACAGCTTAAACCTTTAGCTAGTCTTTTTTTTTAAACTTATATCTGACCTACTTCAGAGAAGATTTAAGAGAAGGTGAAAGCACACACTTAATGGGATAGTTAAAAACAAAGATTACAGATAACTATATCAACTTTTCTGTTCTTTGAAATGCCATGGAAGCAATTATTTCCTTGTATTAACTTTATTCTCCTTCCCTACTTAATCACACTCCCCCACCCCCCCCAATTCCAACCAACAGCTAAATATTTCAAATTAGATGGCTTTTCCCTAAAAACATAATGGAAAGCCTTAGCTATCAAAAAAACCTCAGGGAATTAATAATAATGATGGAGTTAGACAAAGTAAATTTTGTTTCACATCAAGGTGTGTTAACGTGTGGATGGAGAACAGAGTCAAGACTCAGGTTCATTGATTCATTTTCAATTTGATGTGTTTGATTTATTTTAGTTAACCTACTAAGTTTTTTTTCCAAATAAAACGAGTTACTTATTTAACTTCTAAAAGGTTTCAGAGTAATTGAGTTATACCTTATTGTAACCGGAGGCTTTCAGGTCTACTCGGCGCGGCTAGAAAGACAGGAAGCGGTGAAAGCGGAAGAAGCAGCTTCATTTAGTTGGCCGAGTAAAGGAGCCCACCGGGCCTTGTGTCGCCAAGGTGGCTCCCTGAACAATGGCCCAAGGGATTTATATGGGTAAAGGAAAATTAGGTCTGGGGTCTTCAGGGACGCCCCAAGGTGGAGTCAGCCTGCAGATTGCTTTGGCCCATAAAGGCATTCCTGGGGCAGTCGATCTTCTGTGCCTGCTCACTCTAAAAGGGGGGGCCACAAAAATGACGTTTTGCCCACATCCGGCCTTGGACGTCAATAAATCATCCAAGGGACACGGTTGTTGGTACTGCGCATGTCAGGCGGCAAAACCTGGTTCCACATCAGTTTCGACTAGTCTTGGGACCGCAGTCGTTTGTTTTTCTTAAGTGAACCGGAACCGGAAGTATACCTAAATAAGGAGATATCTTAAACACGGGGTTAGTTCCTACATTACCTAATAAGAAGATAGCTTACATGCAGGGAGCTAGTTCTCATATCACATAGGAATGGCAGGTACCACCCCTTGCTTATTCAAGATGGCAGGCGTGCTGTCAGCCTCGTTATTTCTTAAGTATGTACAAAGAACATCAAAACTAGTCCACCAATGGAACTCTGGATTAATTTTGGAATTGATGCATTGTTTATACCTTCAGAAAGATTATGCATACATGTGTCCATTTTATTTCCAAAACCATTACAAGCCATTGGGCCAGGCAGAGAAAATCACACTGCCCTTAGCATGTTTAAAACTGTTTGAGGAGTTGAAAAATAATCTAAAGGGTAATCTTGTGGGGGAAGGCTGGGAAGGTGGTTTAATCTGCTGTGGTGATTTATGGGGTGATGTGTGGGGATAGCTAGTTCATGAGTATGTGGACTGTTTTTTTTTTTTTTTTAAATAGTCATAGAGCTCTTTTCTGTGGATTATGCAGAGGACTTCATTGTATTTTACCATAAATTTAGAATCTGCCTAGTAACATTTACACTTCAGTGTAACAAATTGGACAGCGAGTTTAGATGATGATAAAATTGATGGGGAGAGTTTTGTTGAGTCTCATGAAGGCAGATGTAGAGCATTTAAAGTGCCTTAGATCCACAAAGTCTGTAGTCTTACATTTGTCAGTTTATTTGAGGCACAGGAAGGGAGTTGTAGTTGAAGGGGTCAGGAATGTTAGAGTCTTATCCATACCCTTTCCAGCTTAGGGCTTTAGCTAAAATGAACCTCCCATATCAGAAAAAAAAAAAAAAACCCACTGCCATTGAGGTGATTCCAACTCAAGTGACCCTGCAGGACTGGGTAGAACTGCCCCAGAGGGTTTCCAAAGCTGTAAGTCTTTACGGAAGCAGACTGACACATCTTTCGCTTGCAGAGTGGCTGGAGGGTTTGAACTGCCAACGTTTCGGTTAGCAGCCGAGCTCTTTAGCCACTGTGCCACCAGGGCTCCTCCAAGCCTCCCATAGTCCTTCTTTATGTCCCATCCCTGGATGTTGACAATAATGTTGTTTTTCCTGTATTGAGTGTAGGACTAATGTTAGTAATTTAGGGATTGTTAAATTGTTGTTGTGTGCTGTTGAGTTGATTTTGACTCATAGCAACCCTATAAGACAGAGTAGAACTGCCCCACAGGGTTTCCGAGGCTGAAATCTTTATGGGAGCAGATTTCCATGTCTTTTCTCCCGTGGAGCAGCTGGTGGGCTCGAACCGAGCTGGTGGGTTAGGAGCCCCTGCTTAACCATTGCACCACCAGGGCTCTTTATTTAGAGATTAGAAGGATATAATTGGCAAATAGATTATGTTAAATAGATTGCGTTTAGGGCATTCTTTTTTTCATTGTGGAGTTGAGTAGTAGCAATGTATATTGTTGTGGAGAAAAACTTGAACACTGTTTCAAGTTGAAACAGAGATTTATTAAGCATTTAAAACAATTGCAATTGGGGAACTACGTAGCCCATTGAAAATGGAACCAGGTAGACCCCAGGCAGTTTTGTTATAGAAGTATTCTTATGGGGTAAGAAGAGGAACCAAACCATAGGGAGGGCAATTACAGGAAAATCAACGAATATTGTAATAATGCACTCTGATTGGTTACTGATTATTAGAAGTATAGTTAGTGATTACAGATAGTTTCACAGGATGCTTAGATCATGGTCATAAGATGATTACGTGTATTTTCTGTGTCTGTCTTGCAAAAATACCTTATTGGTAACAGCACTCTTCCTGCGTACGTGTATTTTCAGGAGTGCAGATGGTCACTTGATTGAGATTCCTCAGGGCATATGGTGTTACATCCTGGTTTTGACCACCAAGGAGAAACATTTTTCTCAAAAACATAGCTGTTAGTCTAGAGATCCAAATTAAAATTAGATAGTGTTGTCAGCATATTATGGCTCTGTCTCACTGACTGCACTGACAGTTTTCTTTCCCTGAGACAATATATTATGCTTGCGGAAATGGAGCATACAAAAGTTTAACACACTTTGTTATGCCACTCTTGCACATTCATTAAAAAAGAATATATAAGTAAGAAAATTCATTAAAGAATTGTTCAACTTTCCATATTTGGAGTCTGACTCTCCTGAATTATTTTTAACTTAGAGTTGTTGATATCTAATTTTTCACGTCATCCTCTGTGCTACCAAGAATATTGGTGATACCGCATTCCTTTAAAGAGTCCATAAAAGAATGAAAAGCCTTTGGTGTTGGCCTTTGGATTTGCAGTTATGCAAACCAGCCTACTTAGACTCCTGCTTAGGGAGTTGCCACCTTCCATTCTGTTCCCAGGTCATCCGGTTTCTAAGAGTTGAAAGAGTATTTCAGTATTGTTTCTGGGAACTTCTTTCAAGTTGCTGCCTTCACCAAAACCAGAACCCGTTGCCATCAAGACGATTCTGACTCATAGAGACCCTATAGAACAGAGTAGAACTGCCCCATAGAGTTTCCAAGGAGCTGCTGGTGGTTCCCTGTGTCCATTCATCCAGTTCCTGTCCCTTCCTGCCTTCTTGTCCTGCTTTTGGACAGGAGCTGCCCATTTGGTCTTATACATTTGATTGAACTAAGAAGCACGTTCCTCACGTCTGTTATTTTTTGTTTTATAGGCTTGTCTAATCTTTGTCTGAAAAGTGGGCTTCAGGAATGGTTTCAGTTCTGGGTTAGCAGAGTGTTCGGGGGTTCCTCCAGTCTGTCATACCAATAAGTCTGATTTTCTTATGTGAATTTGAATTCTGTTCTACATTTTTCTCCTGCTCTGTCTGGGACTCTCTGTTGTGTTCCCTGTCAGGGCGGTCATTGGTGGTAGCCAGGTACCATCTAGTTCTTCTGGTCTCAGGCTGATGAAGTCTCTGGTTCATGTGGTCCTTTAGTCCTGTGGGCTAGCATTTTCCTTGTGTCTTTGGTTTTCTTCATTTGCCTTTGCTCTGGATGGGATGAGACCAATAGATGTATCTTAGATGGCCACTTACAAGCTTTTAAGACCCCAGACGCTACTTACCAAAGTGGGATGTAGAATATTTTCTTTATGAACTATGTTATGCCAGTTGACCTAGATGTCCCCTGAGACTGTGGTCCCCAGGCCACACTTTCGTCATTTCTTCCATTTGCTTTAGCTACTCTAGGTTCAAGAGCAAGTTTCAGAGTCTCTCTGATATCCATTTTGGTCTTTTCTTTCTTTCTTGTCTTTTTAATGACCTTTCGCTTTCTTCCTGTATGATGTCCTTGATGTCATCCCATAACTCATCCGATCTTCAGTCATTAGTCTTCAATGTGTCAAATCTTTTTTTGAGATGGTCTCTAAATTCAGGTGGGATATACTCAAGATCGTACTTTGGCTCTCGTGGACTTTTTAAAAATTTTCCTCAGCTTCAGCTTGAACTTGTGTATGAGCAATTGATGGTTTGCTCTGCAGTTGACCCCTGACCTTGTTCTGACTGATGATATTGAGCTTGTCCATCATCTCTTTCCACAGATTTGATTCCTTTGATTCCTGCATATTCCATCTGGCAAGGTCCACTTGTATAGGTGCAGTTTGTGTTGTTGAAGAAAGGTATTTGCAATGAAGAAGTCATTGGTCTTGCAAAATTCTATCACGTGATCTCCAGTGTTGTTTCTATCACTAAGGCCATATTTTCAGTGTAGGCATATGGATGTTATCCTCTCACTGACAGCATTGTACTTCAGGATAGATCTTGAATCTTTTTTTTTGATGATGATGAATGCGACACCATTCCTCTTCAATTTAATTCCCAGCATAGTAGACCATATGATTTTTTCCAATTCAAAATGGCCAATACCAGTCCATTTCAGCTCACTAATGTCTAGGATATCAATCTTTATGCATTCCATTTCATTTTTGACAACTTCCAATTTTCCTAGAAGTTTACAGCTGTTTCTTCTCATTTTGAGTCGTCCACATCAGCAAATGAAGGCCCGGAAAGCTTTATTCCATCCACATCATTAAGGTAGACTCTACTTTGAGGACATTTCAAGAACATTTCAAGATCTATCCTGAAGTACAATGCTGTCAATGATAGGATAATATCCATATGGCTACAAGGAAGAGCAGTTAATATGACTATTATTCAATTTTAAGCACCAACCACTAATGCTAAAGATGAAGAAATTGAAGATTTTTAGCAACTTCTGCTATCTAAAATTGATCAAATGTGCAGTCAAGATGCATTGATAATTACTGGTGATTGGAATGGAAAAGTTGGAAACAAAGAAGGATCAGCAGTTGGAAAATATGGCCTTAGTGATAGAAACACACTGGAAATCACGTGATAGAATTTTGCAAGACCAACCACTTCTTCATTGCAAATACCTTTTTTCAATAACATAAACAGCGACTATACACGTGGACATTGGCCAGATGGAATACACAAGAATCAAATCGACTACATCTGTGGAAAGAGACGATGGAAAAGCTCAATATCATCAGTCATAACAAGGCCAGGTTCCACCTGCGGAACAGACCATCAGTTGCGCATATGCAAGTTCAAGTCGAAACTGAAGAAAATTAGAACAAGTTCACGAGAGCCAAAGTACGACCTTGAGTATATACTGTCTCAATTTAGAGACCACCTCAATGGCACTTAACAACAACAGACTGTAAATATTTGGTAGGACAAAGGTTGTCTCCCATTAACCTTATCCCAAATGTGTAGCATGTAGCATGTTGTCATTGTTTGGATGAATAAAAAAAAATTCTTATATCTGGAAAGAAGACAACTGGTATCCCTTAAGACCTTTAACTCTGATTTTGTTATTATATTTCTAGGTACTTAAGTTTTTAGGTTTTAATATACTTGTAAATTGATGACTTATGGGCTAGGGGTAAATTTCATGGTTTAATGACAGAGCTTTTGTGCTTTAGATATTCTCTCAAGATTTCAATAATTAAAAACTTATTACTGTGGCAGTAGTCTGTAATTTCATTATACCTAACACTAGCCCAGAGTTTACAGTATGGCAGAGGACAGAGTATGTAAATACGGGATTTGACTTTTCAGTTTTAGGTGTTAAATTAGCCGTGAGTTGGCAAATGCTATAGAAGTTTAGTGAACCACTTTGGCCCAGGTAACTCTCATAATCCAAGACCTTAATGTCAGTGAAGAGCTGGTATTCTGTCACCTAAGCAGCAATGTCCAATTATGTGGTATCTGAGGGGAAAATTGAGTTGTGGAATTTTAGGTATGAAAAAGATTCTTTCTCTAAAACTAAGGACTTCTGTGCCACTCTTGGGAGCCTGAAAATTAACCTTTTTTTAATTCCTGTGCCAGCTGGGTTCTGGTTAGACTGCCCATGGGAAGTAGTCAAGTGAGATTAGACGTTAGGAAGAAGATAGCTGTCTTGTTTTTGTCAGTGGCAGCAGCAGTGACGTGTAGGTTCCTGGGCTCCAGGTCAGTGACAGAGGTGCTGGTACTGGTAGCTCCAGCAGCTTCAGTTTGAGTGAAGCTCCTGGGATTTTATAACCATGTTCTCCCTTTTGCCCCACTAACCCAGCCAGCAGGTTTGTAACCATTTCCCAGTATTAAATCTCCCTATTTGAAATATCTAGAGTAATTTTTATTTTTCTGACTAATAAAACCCGCTGCTGTCGAGTTGATTGCGACTTATAGTGACCCTATAGGACAGAGTAGAACTGCCCCATAGGGTTTCCAAGGAGTGGCTAGTGCCAACTTTTTGGTTAGCAGCCAGGCTTTTAACCACTGTGCCACCAGGGAGGCTCTGATAGGTTAAGTGGTTTGACCATGGGCATATAACAGCAGTCTTGAGTGACTAGCACATTTTTGTTACCGTTGGTAAGTAAAACTAAAAATCTCCACAGTGTGATGACAGTCTAACTTTTAGTGGCTTTTTTTTTTAAAAAAAAGAAGGTGGTTTTAAGAGGTGTTGTCTAAGAGTTGCCGCATATAACGTGTGAATTGCCAGTTTTCAATTTATTAGATTTTGTTTTTGTTTTATTCAGAAGACACACTCTAGCTATAGAAAATATAGAGTATTGACCACTGACCCTATGATGGGTCCTGGAGCTTGTCTTTGCTTAATATTTTAATCATTTGGGTTCTTTGCTGGGGATTCTCTGAAAGGATAGGATTAGAACAGCAGGGCCCTTGTACAGGTTGGTTTGATGGACTTCTATGTTATGGTTCTCTACTTGTTAGGGTTCTTTAGATCAATAAAGTATGCAATATTGTTCTATCTCAAAATTTTATAAATAGCTATGAATAATCAGTATATTTATGATGAATGAATGACTTATTTAAGCTTTTTTAAGAAGCCAGGAAATAGATCAGATAATTGAATTCGGATTTGTCGGCCATATATTTACATTATTGTATTTTATCTTATACTTCTTTACAACATAGAACAATCTCATCTGAATTTTGTTTATTTCTAATAATCATGTTTTAAATCTAAAGATTTTGAATAAAGTGAAAGCCTCTCTAAAGGGCTGTACATCATTTTAAATGATAGTGTTTCATTCATACTAGAATTGCTACTTCCATATATTTAAATTTACTGCCCTAATAAAATGTACTGAACTTTAAACTAATATTGCATAATGACTGAATTCTTATTATCTGTTTTCTCAATCTGTTAACTTGAAAATCAGCAACCTATAACCTAAAACAAGGGGTTTTTTTTTTTCTTTTTAAAGCTGTCTCACCATGCCTGGGTCACTTCCTTTGAATGCAGAAGCCTGCTGGCCAAAAGATGTGGGAATTGTTGCCGTAGAGATCTATTTTCCTTCTCAATACGTTGATCAAGCAGAGTTGGAAAAATACGATGGTGTAGATGCTGGAAAGTATACCATTGGCTTGGGCCAGGCCAAGATGGGCTTTTGCACAGATAGAGAAGATATCAACTCTCTTTGCTTGACTGTGGTTCAGAATCTTATGACGAGAAATAGCCTGTCCTATGATTGCATTGGACGACTAGAAGTTGGAACAGAGACAATCATCGACAAATCAAAGTCAGTGAAGACTAATTTGATGCAGCTGTTTGAGGAGTCTGGGAATACAGATATAGAAGGAATAGATACAACTAATGCATGCTACGGAGGCACAGCTGCTGTCTTCAATGCTGTTAACTGGATTGAGTCCAGCTCCTGGGATGGTATGTTACATGCCTCTGTTCCAAAAGAAAGCTCTCCTTGGGGATGAATAGGCTCAAATTACCTTTTAATTAATGCCACATGCAGACTCTTACCAGTTATGGTTGTTTGAATATATTCAGAAAGATAGCTATGACTTTCATCTTATCTGAATTACGAATTAGTTATCTTTATCCCTTGGGACAAAATGATCAATTCAAAATTTAGTTGGAACATTTTCTTTCTTTACCAAAGATTGGGAAAGGATATTCTGGGGAAAATATAACAGACTTCAGTTTACCTGCATGATATTTATAGGGTTAATCATCTTCTTGTGGGTGAGCTAACAAAAAATATCTTACAGGACGGTATGCCCTGGTAGTTGCTGGAGATATTGCTGTATATGCCACAGGAAATGCTAGACCAACAGGTGGAGTTGGAGCTGTTGCTATGCTAATTGGGCCAAATGCTCCTTTAATTTTTGAGCGAGGTGAGTGTTTGGGAATTTTTTTTTTTTTTTAAAGCACAATATGCTGAGAAATTTGAACATATACAATTAAAAGCTAGTACTTAGTTGAGGGGTAATTAATATGGGCACTGCCTGCTAAGTGCTTCATATGTGTTAATCTTTATAGTAGTCATATGCAGTAGGTGGTATCATCCCCATTTTAGAGAGAAGTAAAATGGGTTGAAGTAGGTTTAAGTAACTTGCCCAGAGTCACACAGTAAGCAGCAAGTGTAATTTATTTTCAGCTTAATAGAGCAATTGTGGTCCCTGCATTGGATTTGTGAAACTTGAATGAAAACGTATACCAAAGGAGTCTTCGGCCTGTTTGTGGATACTATTATGTTTCATTTAAAGTACACATTGATTTCACCTTGTGATTTCTATACTGCTAGAAGGGAGAGTTGGAAGGTCCCAGATAATGCAATGTACCTATATATAAATATCAAGAAGTAGAAATACATGGACATCTTTCTTTTTGTTTCTAATAGGGCTTCGTGGGACCCATATGCAGCATGCCTATGACTTTTACAAGCCTGATATGCTCTCTGAGTATCCTATAGTGGATGGAAAACTCTCCATACAGTGCTACCTCAGTGCATTAGACCGCTGCTATTCCGTCTACCGCAAAAAGATCCGTGCCCAGTGGCAGAAAGGTAGGTTTTATCAGTTTTCTGTGGTGTTGGTATCTGTAGAGGGCCACGTAATGTGCTGGGTGTCTTTAGTGAGAAACTAATTTATGGGCATCCTTCATTATTGTCGTTCAACCATTTCCTCCTGACCCACCAAACAACATTTTCCTGTAGTTTCTGGGAATGTGTAATTTAGGAAAAGAGGTAAGCTTTGGGAATGAGCTATCTGCAAAAATGCTTAGTTTGATTTACCCCTAGTAAGAAAATCAAAGTAGGGGAAAAGATAGTAACTTCACTTTTATTTACCTTTTGAGGGAAATATTTTAATAAGGTTTTAGTTTGTAGCAGTGATCCAGAGAAAATAAATTGCTGAACTGATCTGCTTCTCCTGCAGTCTGTTTGCACTTGACCTGTGAATGTGTATTTGCATTTTCAGTGTCTTCATTAATACTAGTCGTTAAACCTGAAAGAGTTCTTAAGATACTAGAAAGGACAGTATTTGAATGAATGCTGTTCTAACACAGAGTACTACATAAAGTATGCGCTTTCTGTAGCGCAAATTTGCCTTATGGAGGTTGTGAGAGAGGGTAAGAAATAATATTTAAGAGCACAATGGCTCTGGATAAGAAGCATTTTTGCAGTATGTAAAATGTCACATTATTTAATAGTATGTATTTAACAGCGCAGTGAATTTCTAACCTTTTTTACTAGGACCATACTAAGAAGTAACATCATTGTATGTGTATGCTAAACTGAAATAAAAATGTTGTGAAGTTACTTACTTGTTCTATGAGTTACTCTGTTTTATTTTAAAAAGACTATTTTAAAACATAAATTGGTCCTTACTCATTCAATTGATTACATCACTCACTAATGGGTTATGACTCTTAAGTTTGAAAAACACTGTAGCGGTATATATTATTACATCTCTGGATGTCTTTTGATATACATTTTAAATCATAGATTTTATTATGCAGTGTATTTCTGGTTGCTTCCTCATTATGTGCTGTTTAAAGGTATAAAAACATCCTGACCATGTCCTAAAGTCAAACGTCCCAATTAGTGGCCTATATGAATGTCATCATTTTCTTGTACTTCTCTTTCAGAGGGAAATGATAGAGATTTTACTTTGAATGACTTCGGCTTCGTGATCTTTCACTCACCATATTGTAAACTGGTTCAGAAATCTCTAGCTCGGATGTTGCTAAGCGACTTTCTTAATGACCAGAACAGAGATAAAAATAGTATCTACAGTGGCCTGGAAGCCTTTGGGTAAGAGGAGCTATTATGGTTTTTTTCTTTCTATATTAGAGCATTTATATCTGTGAAACTATTGTTTGTACAAACCTGAAAAATTTAGAGTCAAAAGGATCTTAGAAATCATCTAGCCTAACCTATTTATCTCATCAGTGAATAAACTGAGTCCCAGAAAGGTGTGACTTACCTACGCTAATTCTTTAGTCATTTCTATTCAGATGAGCTTGATTTACTCCTTTTAGCTCCATTCCCATTGCCATCATGATTGTACAACTCTCTAACCAAAAAAAAAAACCAAACCCGTTGCCGTCCAATCGATTCTGATTCATAGCGACCCTGTAGGACAGAGTAGAACTGCCCCATAGCGTTTCCAAGGAGCACCTGGTGGATTTGAACTGCTAACCTTTTGGTTAGCAGCCGTAGCTCTTAACCACTACATCACCAGGGTTTCCACGACTCTCCTAGTGTCTGTATTTACAACAACAGCCTCTTAACTCTTCCCCCTGCCTCTCTTTACTCCTTGTGTCCATATCCATTCTGCACACTATCCCTATTAAAGTTTGCTTTCATATCTGTCCAAATTTTTTCTCACTTTTAAGACTCTTTAGCGTGCCATAGGAGTCCTTGGGTGGCATAAACAGTTGAAGTACTCACCTACTAACCTAAAGTTTAGAGGTTCAACTCCACCCAGAGGTGCCTCAGAAGAAAGGCCTGGTGATCTTCTTGCAAAAAATCAGCCATTGAAAACCCTACGGAGCACAGTTCTACTCTGACACACATGGGGTCACAATGAGTCAGAGGCAACCGCTTTTTAGCATGCTATGCTTTTAAAACTCATTCTATTTCTCCCTGCCCGTATCCATTTCTCCTCCATTTGGTAAAGTTCCACCCAACTTTTAGGACTTGGCTCTTATAACATCATGACTTTTCTGATTAAATAGCCATTATTATGGACTTGAAACAGTATTATATTCTGTTTGTTAACAACAAAGCTCTAATGGGTTTTTTAACCCATTGGAATCAGTTGTCTTAACTTGTTATAAAAAAACCTTGGAAAAGGGACCGTATGTGTGCAACTGTTTTTATGTTTTCCATAGCAGTTAGCATAGCTGGGTATGCAGAAGGGTGGCTTTTAACTAATGGGAAAACAGAATCACACAATACAGATTTGAATATTAATTAGGCCCCCTATTTAATAAAATAAATGTAGTCTTTGAACACTGTAAAATTGTCTTTTTTATAAATCTTTCAGGGATGTTAAATTAGAAGATACCTACTTTGATAGAGATGTGGAAAAGGCATTTATGAAGGCTAGTTCCGAACTCTTTAATCAGAAAACAAAGGCATCTTTGCTTGTATCAAATCAAAATGGAAATATGTACACATCTTCAGTATATGGTTCCCTTGCTTCTGTTCTAGCACAGTAAGTATAAATTTCAGCTGTTTACCTCACTTTAGGGTGTTAGATTTCTAACACCGAATCCAGGGTGTCAGACATGTTATATTGGTGGTAGGTCATAGACAACATTTTATTTTCACACTCTCTAATATGCTGTTGTCCATAGACTTGAAGGATATATGGGTTGAAGCTAGGGTTCTTCCAGAAGTATTTGTGATTTCATATTGGCTTTCCTGGCTACTGTTTTCATGGGTTCATTATTCTTGACCTATAGTTGAAGCATAAATCCCCAGTTGACAAAGTAACTTATTTTATGGTATAGTAACTTATTCATAAACTCCATCGTTCCCAAAGAGATGAAGACTCTTGTTTTCAGGCTGTTTACTGTAACATTAAAACTTTAAATTAGATCCCTGAGACTATAATATGAAATTTTATTCCCACTTATATGGCTTTCCACACATTATGGCTTAGAATCAAACTTCTTAATAATGGCTTTTTTTTTTTCTCCCCTATGCAGGTATTCACCTCAGCAGTTGGTAGGAAAGAGGATTGGCATCTTCTCTTACGGTTCTGGTTTGGCTGCCACCTTGTACTCCCTTAAAGTTACACAAGATGCTACACCAGGTGAGTGCCGAGTCTTCCAACGACAGTGTATCAAGAGCCTACTGTGCTAAGGTTTATTCAGCAGGCTTTTCAAATGAGCACTTGAATCTGTCCCATACAGCATTATAGCATTTTTATCTTTATTACTTCTTTCAATACAGGCACATTTTTACCCTCTGTCCTAAATTTGCCTTTACTAGGTAAAGGGTAGGACTGTGTCTGAGTCAGGGTATCTTTTTTCTTCCAAGTCAGAAAAAAACAATCAGCTTTTAAAATTGTTTATGGCATAGTGTTTCCTTCTTTGGCAAATTATTTTATATCTTAACTCATTTTTTTTAAGCATGTATAAACCCATCACCATTGAATCAATTCTGACTCATAGCGACCCTATAGGACAGAGTAGAACTGCCCCATGGGGCCAAAGAGCAGCTGGTAGATTCAAACTGCCAACCTTATGGTTAGCAGGTGATCTCTTAACTACTGCACCACGAGGGCCCCTTAAGCATAGATAGCCAGGAGGTATAGGTATGGAAGGGAAAGCATATTTATTTAACACAGGCAGCATATGAATCTTTACACTAATGACTGAGTCTGATGGTATGAGTGAATAACATCAGAATCATTTCTTTTTGGTTTGGTTTTATACTAAATTACCTAATTTTTATAGAAGATTTATGGTTTGGCCTCTATTTAAAGAAACTTTTGTGCCTTTGCTGAGCAGCAAAGAGCAAGAACAAGGAAAACTGATGGAAGACTTGACATTACTTTAAATTTATGCAATGGATTGACTATAGAGAAGTTACTTAGCTTCAGATCCCACCAATGTCCTAACTTGTCTATTGGCTAATATTGAAACAAATGTGTAGTCAGAGGTCATAGAAGGCTGTGTCAAATAGATCCCGTCTTAGCTACTAACTAAACAATAGCCAGTAGTTCTAAGAGAGATGAAAAGTTGATTTTATCCTTTCAGCAATATTTTGTTCAGGCTTCATTTACGCATACTATTTTTAGTCTTAATGTTGGAATTATTTACTCTTTTAGGGTCTGCTCTTGATAAAATAACAGCAAGTTTATGTGACCTTAAATCAAGGCTTGACTCAAGAACTTGTGTGGCACCAGATGTCTTCGCTGAAAATATGAAGCTCAGAGAGGACACTCATCATTTGGGTAAAAATTTTAATTTGTGTTTAATCACATAAATATATGTCCAAAAACCTATTGGAGGGCTACAATAATGTTAAACGTGCTACATATAAGATAGAGATATCTAGGCTTTATTTAGTAGTAATTTTTGTGGATAAAGATCTTAGGGAAATATGTAGCTTCTTATCTTCAGATTTATTACCAGATGAGTTATATATCGTAACCAGTTTTTCATATTCTCTCCTTTTCTTTTAGGCAACTATATTCCCCAGGGTTCAATCGATTCACTGTTTGAAGGAACATGGTACCTGGTTAGAGTGGATGAAAAGCACCGAAGAACTTATGCTCGGCGCCCCTCTCCAAATGATGACTCTTTGGGGGAAGGAGTAGGACTTGTGCATTCAAACACAGCAACTGAGGTAAATAAAGCTCTTTGTGTCTGGTCTTATGCTTTGACTGGGTAAGAGGTTTCCACTCCCATATCTCAAGGCTTAGGGGACCTAACTGAGATTCAGCAACTTAAAGAAATGCCAATAAAACAGTGTAATTCAGAGCAAGGGCTCTGGGATTGGATACCAGCTGTGCCACTTTCCAGTTGTATAAAGTGCTTTGCGCTTAAATTATTAGCATTTAAAAAATGCACAGTATTGTTGTTGTTGTTAGGTGCCATCGAGTAGGTTCTGACTCATAGCAACCCTACTAGCTTTTATTAATAATACCAAAATTTAAAAGAAGACTAATCTAGGGAGAAGGCTCCTATGTGATATATGTGTTAGTGAGAGATGGAGTAGGGGCAGGGTGTTGAGCCCTCACATGTTTTCTCTCAGACCGTTGTCAAATTTGTCTCCAGGTGTCAAGAAGTAATAACAATAGCTATGAATTGAATTTGTATTGTATGATAGTCCCTTTACTTAGATTCTCTTATTTAACCCTTACAACAGTCCCCTTGAGGTAAGCAAAACTATCCCCATTTTAGAAAAGAGGTTCCAAGAAGTTAAATGAGTTGTCCAATGTCATAGCTAGTAAGTGTGAAGCCAGGCTTTAACCAAGGGCTTTATAACCTGGAAGTTCTTTCTTTTATTTTTCTACTCGTTGCAACTTTGCTGAATTCATGGTCTTGCTCCTTGATGTTATACAAATTAGGTAGCTAGTCATGCGACCAGTGCTTGAGCTGCCAATGCAAGATGTAACAAAGCACTGTGTTTGGTGGGTCTCTTGCTATGTAGGTAATGTAATAAATACACCATAAGATGAAGAATGGATATTTATTTCCCTCCATGAAAAGTTATATAGGACATATATATTTAGCATATATATATTACATTTATATAAATGTATATAAATTTACATTTATAAATGTAAATATATATATATTTATATATCTCCAAAGTTGTCCTTTATCAGTTTTTCCCTAGGAACTTAATTATTGCCATGACTGTTTCCAAAAAAAGTCTTAAGAACCAAGTTTTTTTCCTTTCATTTTAGCATATTCCAAGTCCTGCTAAGAAAGTGCCAAGACTCCCTGCAACAGCAGCAGAACCGGAAGCAGCTGTCATTAGTAACGGGGAGCATTAAGATACTTTTGTGAGGTGCAAGACTTCAGTGTGGGTTGGGGTGGATGGGCTATGGGAATGGTTGGGGGAATGGGATGTCTGGGGACAATTTTAAAGGATTACATGTTGCCTCAATTTTTGTGTAACTGACATGGAGCCTGGAAAACTTGCGTTCTTTGTAAAGTCTTAGCTAAGATGTTTCCTGTTGTGGTTTAGCTGATGCTAAATGTACCCAAATGACGAGAAGGGCTCTGTAAAACTTCATACCTCTCTGGCTATTTGTATGCATGAAGGTTAGCTTTTAAATGTGGTGTAATGAATCGTGTGCTTCTGGTAAAAGAAAACAGAGGTACTAGTCTCCACTTTAATTTTTTTTTTTTTTAAACACGTAAGAATTTTGTAATACTTTGAACAAATAAGATTACTGAAAATGTTTGTAGCTTGGGGAATGTGGTCGTTAAATGTGATATGCACAAACCCTGTTTGAAATGTGCTCTTTTTCTAAAATTTATAAATCTTAAGGGGAGAGGGAAGAGTTAGGACAGTAGCACTCGTTCTGGAAACTGGAATGTTGGTTGGTTTAAATCCAGCCCAGCAGTGACTGACTGTTATTGTAATGACTTCGATGAACAAAGAGATGCTAGCACTGAGAGACTGCTGGTATTGACAAGATGGTACATTTGGAAGTTCTAAGTCAGCTCCCAAATCAAATTCAAAGTAGCCTATGCTAAACAACATTGAGATGTTATTGGAGCTACGTATGAGAAGGTTTGTTCCTGCAATCCTTCTTTGTACCTTATTTTGAAGGACAAATGACTCCTTTCTCTGTCTGCCTTTTTTCATTTAAAGCAAAAAGGTACAGGATAGGGGCAGGGCGTTATTAGGTTAGTTCTGATACTTCAATGTTATAAAATCACCTTAAAGACAACCTAAATTCATGATGTAAGTGTTCTTTTTTCTTTTTGTTTGTATCTGTCCAATGAAAATAAGAAATTACAACTCAAATTTTTATATACTCTGCCTAGCCAAAAAGAGTATTCCACTTCAGGGTCTAGAAGTAGAATTTATAAAGCATTTTCTCAGACTTTCACCTTAAAAAACAAAAACAAAAACTATCACATGGGGTGGATAAGAACGCTGGTTAGACAGTTATGTAGATCTTTTTGGTGCTGAACTTGACATGAGCCTTAGATTGTAAAATAGAGGTAGTTGGAACTAATGTACAGAACTAAATTTTTTAAACTTTATTTGCTGTAAAATTCTGTGAAGTTTCAGTTACCTAAAATAACTTACACAAATATGAAATGTAATGTTTCAAATTGCAAGGTAATGTGTATTGTAGTGTTTGTAAAATATCCTTGTCTAATAATAACTAGTAGTATTGTGATTTGTACAGTCATAATTTGTTAAAATGACTTCATTTTAACATCCACTGATGTAGGTTAATAATGTAAGTTCAGATTTAAAGATAATGGGAAGCGGTGCATGTAATACTTACGCAAGTATTGGGAGTTTGGTATGTTTTGAAAAAAAGTATTTTAACTTTCGGGGGCCAGGAAATGGGTTTTCTCAAAGTCCATTGCCGGCAATGGGCAGGCCTAGTAATGCTTGGCACAGAGCATTAACTGCACACCTTATTAACAGAGAGGTGAATAACTTTGAAATAAAGTTTTAGAGAAATATTTCAGATATTGAGTAGTCTTTTTTTAACCACTGAACTAACAACTGAGTCAAGAAATAAGCTAATGTGTGTGTTTTTTGTTTTGTTTTAGTATGTTTTTTAAATGAGGGCATTCATTTTATTTCTTTCATTCATTTAACATTCATTTCATTTCACTCTGCTTAGGCCAGAAATAAAAAGATGTGCCAGGTATATAGTCTTGTTTTCAAGGAACTATTAGTCTAGCGTGGAGGAATTTATACTGGTTATTTATTATTCTTACACTCCAAACAAAGAAATTAATTCCCAAAATGGGTGGTAAGCATGTATAAACTTTGCTATAAATATTCATGAAGTGAGTTAACTGGGTTTTCATAAAACAGAATGCAGGACTAAGAGTTAGCAATTAGAACAAATTTTGTAGCCAGTATGGAACTACTCACTACCTGCTAGAGCTTCCAGTGTAAAGGTCCCATGTTACTTGTGATCCCAGGGGTTTTTTAGAGGGAATTCTTGCATTGGCAGTAAAATTGGACTAGGTAATCTCTAAGAGGAGTCCCTGGGTGGCACAAACAGTTAAGCGCTCAGCTGCTAATGGAAAGATTGGCAGTTTGAGTTCACCCAGAGGAGCTCGGAAGAAAGGCCTGGTGATCTACTTCTGAAAAATCAACCATTAAAAACCCTATGGAGTACAGTTTTACTGTGACACACATGGAGTTGCCAGAAGTCACAATCAATGAAACTGGTTTATTTATTTATTTTCTAAGAGCCCTGTCCACTCTCAGGAGTCTATGAATTAGGAATTAAGTCAGATTGATAGTCAGCTCCTGTTGAATCCAACTTTATTTTCTGATACTGATCAGCTCATACTTTATCATCATGTCGTGTCTAGAGTCAACACTTGTAATAATTTCATTTATTTTGGGGCCAGTCCCCTGTCACTCTGGGTCATTTGGAAAATGAGGGCAATATTCTAAGGTCATTTCTACTGTAAATTCTACCATCCTAATTAATATTGCTTTAAGATTTCTATCCTTCTCCTTCTCCTTTACAAGATTTGTGCATTCTCTACTATATACTTTGTGGTTTTTTTTCTTTTCTTCTGGGTTCGTGTTTATTTTTGTGACCTCTAATGAGTAAATTTGAGATTAACACTAGACTAAACTCAAACAGATGCAAACAGCTGCATTTGATCCTTCTGTGACTTAGTTGAAGCACCTCATCTCTTGTCCGTGGTTTGGAGCATTCTGAAAGGAACACTGAAGTGGAAGTTGATAGAGCAAAGGGTGTAACAGGATCTTTAAATAATTTACAGCGATGTAATCTAGCCATAATATTAATTTTATTATTAATTATTAATATAATTAATTAATTAATAATAATTTATTATTATTGCAATGTTACCTTTCTTTAAACTTTCTAGCAACTGCTCTTAAGCCACAGGTTCCTCATTTTTTCCTATTGGTAGTGAAAGAAAATAGTTGACCTGTGATTTTTTTTTTTTCTTTTCCCCTCCCAAAATTACTCTTCGATGAAGACAGTCATTTGGTGCTGAATATTACGAACACCAACCTCCTGTTTTGGTGTTCGGTGTCGTAGAGTCAGTTTCGACCCATAGCAACATTATGTACAACAGAGCGAAACACTGCCCAGTCCTGTGCAACATCCTCACAATTGTTATGCTTAAGCCTGTGGTTGCAGCCACTGTGTCAATCCATCTCGTTGAGGGTCTTCCTCTTTTTTGCTGACCCTCTACTTTACCAAGCAGGATGTCCTTCTCCAGGGACTGATCCCTGCTGTTAATGTGTCCAAAGTATGTGAGATGTAATCTCGCCATCCTCGCTTCTAAGAAGTATCCTGGTCATACTTCTTCCAAGACAGATTTGTTCTTTCTTTTGGCTGTCCATGGTATATTCAATATTCTTTGCCAACACCATAATTCAAAGGTGTCAATTCTTCAGTCTTCGTTATTCATCGTCTAGCTTTCACATGCATATGAGGCGATTGAAAACACCATGGCTTGGGTAAGGCACACCTTAGTCTTCAAGGTGATGTCTTTGCTTTTTAACACTTTAAAGAGATTTTTTGCAGCAGATTTACCCAATGCAATGCGTTGTTTGATTTCCTGACTGCTGCTTCCATGGGTGTCGATTGTGGATCCAAGTAAAATAAAATTCTCGACAACTTCAATCTTTTCTCCATTTATCATGATGTTGCTTATCGGTTTAGTTGTGAGGATTTTTGTTTTCTTTATGTTGAGGTGTAATCCATACTGAAGGCTGTGGTCTTTGATCTTCATCAGTAAACGCTTCAAGTCCTCTTCACTTTCAGCAAGCAGGGTTGTGTCATCTGCATAACGCAGGTCGTTCATGAGCCTTTCTCCAATCCTGATGCCCCATTCTTCTTCATATAGTCCAGCTTCTCTGATTATTTGCTCAGCATACAGATTGAATAGGTATGGTGAAAGGATACAACCCTAACACACACCTTTCCTAACTTTAAACCACGCACTATCCCCTTGTTGTGTTCGAACAACTACCTCTTGATCTTTGTACAGATTCCACATGAGCACAATTAAGTGCTCTGGAATTCCCATTCTTCACGATGTTATCCATAATTTGTTATGATCCACACAGTTGATTGCCTTTGTGCAGTCAATAAAACACACTGGTATTCTCTGCTTTCAGCCAGTATCCATCTGACATCAGCAATGATATCCCTTGTTCCATGTCCTCTTCTGAGTCCAGCTTGAATTTCTGGCAGTTCCCTGTAGATGCACTGCTGCAGCCACTTTTGAATGATCTTCAGCAAAATTTTACTTGTGTGTGATATTAATGATATTGTTCAATAATACCCGGATTTGGTTGGCTCACCTTTCTTGGGAATAGGCATAAATATGGATCTCTTCCAGTTGGTTGGCCAGGTAGCTGTCTTCCAGATTTCTTGGCATAGATGAGTGAGCACTTCCGGCGCTGCATCAGTTTGTTGAAACATCTCAATCAGTATTCCATCAGTTCCTGGGTGGAGCCTTGTTTTTCGCCAATGCTTTCAGTGGAGGTTGGACTTCTTCCTTCAGTACCATTGGTTCCTGATCATATACTACCTCCTGAAATGTTTGGACATCAACCAATTCTTTTTCGTATAGTGACTCTGTGTATTCCTCCCATCTTCTTTTGATGCTTCCTGCATCATTAATATTTTCCCCATAGAATCCTTCAATATTGCAACTCGAGGCTTGAATTTTTTCTTCAGTTCTTTCAGCTTGAGAAGTGCAGAGTGTGTTCTTCCCCTTTGGTTTTCTAACTCCAGGTCTTTGCACATAATACGTTACTTTGTCTTCTCAAGCTGCCCTTTGAAATCTTCTATTCACCTCTTGTATGTCATCATTTCTTCCTTTCACATTAGCTACTCTACGTTCAAGAGCAAGTTTCAGAGTCTCTTCTGACATCCATTTTGGTCTTTTCTTTCTTTCCTCTCTTTTTAATCACCTCTTGCTTTCTTCATATATGATGTCCTTGATGTCATTCCACAACTCATCTGGTCTTTGGTCATTAGTGTTCAATTGGTCAAATCAATGCTTGAGATGGTCTCTAAATTCAGGTGGAATATACTCAAGGTCATACTGGCTCTCATGGACTCATTCTAATTTTCTTCAATTTCAACTTGAACTTGCATAGGAGCAATCGATGTTCTGTTCCACAGTCGGCCCCTGGCCTTGTTCTGACTGATGATATTGAGCTTTTCCATCGTCTCTTTCTACAGATGTAGTTGATTTGATTCCTGCATATTCCATCTGGCGAGGTGCACATGTATAGTCACAGTTTATGTTGGTGAAAAAAGGTATTTGCAATGAAGAAGTTGTTGGTCTTGCAAAATTCTGTCATGTGATCTCTGGTGTTGTTTCTGACCCCAGGCCATATTTTCCAACTACCAATCCTTCTTCTTTGTTTCCAACTTTTGCATTCCAATCACCAGTGATTATCAGTTCATCCTGATTGCATGTTCCGTCAGTTTCAGACTGCAGAAGTTGGTAAAAAGCTTCAATTTCTTCATCTTTGTCCTTAGTGATTGGCACATAAATTTGAATAATAGTGGTATTAACTAGTCTTCCTTGTAGGCATATGGATATTATCCTATCACTGACAGCGTTGTACTTCAGGATAGATCTTGAAGTGTTCTTTATGACAGTGAATGCAATGCCATTCCTCTTCATTTTGTCATTCCCGGCATAGTAGACCGTACGATTATCTGATTCAAAATGGCCAGTACCAATCCATTTCAGCTCACTCATGCCTACGATATCGATGTTTATGCATTCCATTTCATTTTTGACGGTTTCCAATTTTCCTAGATTTGTACTTTGTACATTCCATGTTCCCATTATTAATGGATGTTTACAGCTGTTTCTTCTCATTTTGAGTCGTGCGACATCAGCAAATAAAGGTCCCGAAAGCTTGACTCCATCCACGTCTTTAAGGTTGACTCTACTTTGAGGAGGCAGCTCTTCCCCAGTTGTCTTTTGAGTGCCTTCCAACCTGAGGGGCTAATCTGGCACTATATCAGACAGTGTTCTACTGCTATTCATAAGGTTTTCCCTGGCTAGTTCTTTTCAGAAGTAGACTTCTGGGTCCTTCTTCCTAGTCTGTCTTAGTCTGGAAGCTCAGCTGAAACCTATCCTCCATGGGTGACCCTGCTGGTATTTGAATATCGGTGGCATAGTTTCCAGCATCATAGCAATACACAAGCCCCCACAGTATGACAAACTAACAGACGCGTGGGGGCAACCTCCTGTAGGTTTATATATCATCAGTGCTCTTCCTTATAATAATAATGCATTTTTATTTTAAATGTGTAGAAATGAAAAACAAGGAATTCATCTTTTCCTTGTCCTGTTTCATCAGTGTGACTGTCTTACCTTACAAGGTAAAGGGGACTTTGTAGGTATGATTAAGTTAAAATATTTGAGATGAGGTTATCCTGGATTATCCAGATGGGCCCAACCTAACCACATGGGTCCTTAAAAGTGGAA